CTTTCGGTTTTCATTTGACTCTCTAAAACTTTTAAGGCATAAATATTACCTCAAAATCTATAAGATTATTATGTATATATAAACTTTCTCATTATACTAGTAGCCATACAGAATACCAACTCATTTTAGAAATAAGCTTCATCTCGCTTCCTGTATGTTTTCACGTTTGAGTCTGAAGCAGGTAACGAGGAACAAAGTTTATGTGCCTCGATGTACTTAATAGATTGTGGTCCTCAAACCTTGTGGACATCTGCTAAGTTTTCAACAATAACCCATGACCATTCCTAACAGTAACCCTGAGATCTCCAAGATGATGAGGCCCTGCCAGGATGAATCCACCTGGACTGTGGGAACACTAACCACTGGGAAAAACTGCCCCAAGCCTCTTCTGCCGCCAGGTTCTGAGCAAACAGTGGACACCTGTGGGCTGACTGCTGTGTTCTTCCTAGCCAGGATTGCCACTAGGCTGACAACCACCACCCAAAGATCAGCTTCAGAATACAAACTGCTCAGGGCATTCAAATTGCGGAGTTCACAGGAGACCGACATGGACATTTTACAGAACTTTGAACTCAAAAATATTTAATTCCAAAACAGCCAAATACAACCAAGATGGACATTATGGAAAGCTTGGTAGAAATAGCTTCGTTACTGTAAATAGTTTTACTAGTTTTACTGTGATACAGTTAAAACCTTACCTTTCTGTTTAGACAAACAAAAAAACAAAAAAACAAAAAAACAAAAAAAAAAAAAGGAAATATTGCAGGATATTTGATCACACTGTGAACCCAAGATTGTGTTGTTTACTGGAAAAACCTGTTTCTAGTTGTGGTGTGCCTCAGCCCTACTATACAATTTAATTTAAGAGCCTTCTGCTTGAATATTGTAAAAAGGATTAAATGAAGTCAAACGCAGGTCAAGAGGCAGAGCAAGCAACCAGTTGACAGGAAGTGAACATAGGAAAAAAAAAAACCATAGCGAATCAGAGGAAGTCAGGAGGGTTAATAGAGAGATGCTCAGGTGCGCAGGAAGTAGGCAGGAAAGACATGGTGCTCGAGAGTTTTTGAGACTCTGTGGAGGAGAGCTGGCCTTTTCCTTTTGGGATGTTTGCTGAGGGGGAAGGTCAGCTGGGTGCTTTCTGTCCCTCCCTGAGCTCACAGGCTTCCACCCCAGCGTCTGGCGCCCTCGTCTTTATTGGTAAAATGCAACGGTTGAGATTTTGTTAAAAATACCAGGGCATGGCAGCACATGTCTTAATCCCAGCAGTCACAGAGGCAGGCGGATCCACATAAGTGAGTCCAGGACAACTAAGGCTACACAGAGAAACCCTGTCTTGGGGGGAAAAAAGATTTTGTTAAAAACAACAGCAGAGGCAGGAGGATCAGGAACTACAGGTCTGAGGAACTACAGACCATTCTAGGCTGTGAGAGACCCTGGCTTAAAACAGAAAAGCCAGAGCAGCTCTCCGTTGGTGGTTTTTCCCTCCATTCAACATGCACCTTAGAAGCCCAGCCTGGAATCCTGAAAGGCTGAGAAAGATGAACAAGCCTTCAGGAGAAGAAACAGTCAATTCCCCAATGACTTGGTTTCTCGAGCACCAGTTAAAGTGCCAGCGCCACTCTGGAAGACACAATCAGAGGGTGTGAGTAGCTCAGATCCAAACCTGTGTCCTGGCTGCCAGGAAAAGGCTATCTCAGGAAAAGAACCCTCCATTGAAATTGATTACTGTGGCAGGGCTCATTCCTATGTTGGTAGAGTTCCTGAAGGAGGCACTTCCCTCCAACTTGAAGTTCAAGGCAGCATGGGCTCTCACCAACATTGCCTCCAGAGCTTCCAGCGTTATTGTGAAAGGGGTGCCGTCCAGTCCCTGACCGAACTCTTGTCTCCCCAGCATCTGAGCACGTGTAACCAGGCAGTGTGGGCCCTTAGTCATATAGCCGGTGATGGCCCAGAATCCACAGACAGTATCATTGTCAACAATGTCATCCTGTGCCTGCTCAACCTTATGTCGACAAACATATCAATCACATTTTTTTGGGAGGGGGACATCACATGGGCTTTGTCTAACCTATGTCAAAACAAAAATTCAAACCGTTTCGAGGAGGTGGTGGGGCAGATTCTGCCTGCACTCTCTCAGCTCCTTTGGCACCATGATGACAGCCCCTCAGATACCTGCTGGGCCCTTTTCTAGCTCACTGAGGGCTGAAACAAGCAAATTCATCATATGATGGCCACAAGGGTACTCTGTAGTGTGGGTTTTTCCTCCTGCACCAATAACTCCCTGAATAATGACTTGGGAAACTGAAAATATATTTACAAACACCTTGGCTAAGTTTTGCCATTTCCGTTCAAGCCTCCCATGACCAGACACCTTTGCCATTTATCCGCTAGTTAGTGGTTTTCGTTTTGATGACCACATAGCTATACCATTGCGCATGCGCCATGAACTGGAGGAGGTAGAGATTTTCCTTTTGCTTTCCTAGGTGTTTGTCATGTAGCCAACAGGACTGCACCGATTCTGTGGTGTCTTCCTCAGTACTGGCCATTGCATCCTCCCCGCCCACATAGGCTGCCGCTTTCCATTAGTTTTGGTTCCATCAGTGGTTGAGGGAGCATCAGAAATCCATGCAGTGGCCAAATGCTGTGACCATTCCTTTGGTCCTCACAGTTGAATAGGTGCCTCTTTTGGGGGAGGGATGAGCGATTTAGGAATGGAGATTAGAGGCAACTGATCTATTTCCTCAGTGTGGGTGGGCTCAGAGCCCTTTGCTACCACATCCTGGTCAGGAAGGACTTCAGATAGGTACCAGTTTCACTGTAATAGCCGACCTTCATGGCTAAGCCTGTGAAGGACTGTGCCTTGGAACCATCCAGTCTGTCACTGTAAGAGGCACCTTTATGACTACAGGGTGGTCGGCAATGATGGAGTATAAGGTTCTCTGTGTCCCTAAAATATCAGATTTGTTTCTCAAGGAGAGAATATTTATTCTTCATATATGGAAAGTGTTTGCAATAGAAGCCAACAGGCAGATGTTGGTGGAGTCCTTGTTGCTTCATGAAGAGTCCCCAGTTGCCAATTCCCCAATGAACATGTTTTTGTAAGTGGGAACATCTGTTTCAGTACTGCTCAGGTTCGCCTGCACGGAGCTGAGGTGACCTGCAGTTGCAAAAGCTGCTCTTTGTCCCTGTCCCCACTGTAAATCAGCTGCCTTTCTAGTAGCCTTGTAGAGATTTTTTATAATAATCTGTAAATGTGGAATGTGATTTCTCTAGTGTGCCAACATACCAATTAGGAGCTGCGTCTGAGTTTTGTCTCTGAGTGGTGGGATTAAAGGCATGTGCCACTGTCACCTTACTCACTGTAACTCTAGAATTTAGAAAATAAGTAACTTAAAGAGATACCACTGTCTCTGCTGGTATTAAAGGCATTGGCTACCAGGACACTCTTCAAATATTTTATCTTAGCCCCAAATCACTCCAACCCTTAGAGATTTAGAAAAAAGTTTGAACTGTAGTAACTTTTTAAATTTACTTAAAAATGTTCAATCTCTTAACTGTGTGGGCTAGGTGGCAACTGACCATCTAACATTCTAACATGGAATTAAGACACATGGTTTTAGAAAACACTTTTGTTGGTTTTTTGTTTTGTTTTGTTTTTTGAGCCAGATCTGGTGTCACTTGCCTTTAGTCCCAGGACTCAGGGAGGCAGAGGCAGGTGGATCTCTGTAAGTTCGAGGCCAGGCTGGTCTAAGCAAGCTCTTGACAGCCAAGGCTACACAGAAAAACTCTGTCTTGAAAAAAAAACAATTTCATACCAGTAAGACAAGTATGCCTTTGGTAAATTATCATTTGAAAATATTGTTCTTTTTCTTTTCTTTTCTTTCTTTTTTTTTTTTTTTGCAGCATTAAAGTTTTTATTCATGTCAATTGTTAAAAATGAGCATCTATGTTGTTGATTATTGGTATATATTATCGATTTATCTTTTAGTGAAACAGTGGTTATTCCTAAACAGCTGTACACCCAAATCACCACACAGAGACTAGGATATATTTAGTTAACTTAGAGTACAATGCTGGGCAATGATTACTCCATCCTAAACCTCCAAGCCCACATAGCTTCCTCTCATTCAGAATTTCCCACATTATACTTGCTTTTGGTCATATCTTAGGTCCAAGTCATCTCTCCTCAAGATTCCAAGTCCTCCTACTCTCCAACTCCTCCCACTCACTTCTTTCTCCTCCCCTCCCGACCAGGAAGTCCCACCCTATTCTCTCCATTACTCAGCATAATTGACAATATAGAGAACAAATGGTAGCATGATTATACAAACTTGAGACAGATGATGCTTAGAATAAGCATCACAATGCAATGTCCAGATTGAAACCAGAGAGTGGGGTAGAGAAAGCAGCATTTGAATGAACAATGGTAAATTATATACATTCCACAAGAACAATATACCAACGGGTCTTTATCAGTGTCAGGTGAGGGAGGAAGAGGAAGACAAGGCAGGACAAGGTGGAGGAATCCCCTCTATTGGTAATAAAGTTCCAGGTTCATCCCATTGTGGATTTTATAATCTCCCAGAGACACGTGGTCCTTAAAACCGTGTACCACCAGGAGACAACTTCCTGAACAAAATACCAATAGATCAGGCTCTAAGGTCTACACTTAATAAATGGGACCTTGTGAAACTAAAAGAGTTCTGTAAAGCAAAAGACACTGTCAACAGAACAAAACGACAGCCTACAGACTGGAAAAAGATCTTCACCAACCCTACATCCCATAGAGGGTAAGTATCAAGAATATATAAAGAACTTAAGAAATTAGACACCAACAAACCAAATAATCCAAGTAAAATATGGGGTACAGAGCTAAGCAAATAATTCTCAACAGAGGAATATCAAGTGACAGAGAAACAAAGAAATGCTCAACAGTTCTCTTCGGTTCTTAGCACTGTGAGTGTTTCAGGTGCCGTTGCCAGTGCCGAGAACCTGTTGCCATGCCTTGGGAAACTGAGGAAATCAAGGACTTTCTGCTCACAGCCCGGCGGAAGGACGCTAAATCTGTCAAGACCAAGAAGAACACGGATAACGTAAAGTTCAAGGTTTGCTGCAGCAGGTACTTCTACACCCTGGTCATCACAGAGAAGCTGAAGCAGTCCCTACCCCCTGGTTTGGCAGTGAAGGAGCTGAAATGAACCAATCCTCTGCATTTAACTATTAAAAATTCTGGAAAGTCAAAAAAAAAATGCTCAGCATCTGTAGTCATCAGGGAAATGCAAATCAAAACAACTCTAAGATTCCATCTCACGTCCATCAGAATGGCTAAGTGACAACACATGTTGGAGAGGATGTGGAGAAAGGGAACCCTCCTCCATTGCTGGTGGGAACGTAAACTTGAACAACCACTTTGGAAATCAATATGGCACTTTCTCAGAAAATTGGGAACAGCGCTACCTCAAGATCCAGCTATACCACTCCTGGGTATGTACCCAAAAGATACCCCACCATTCAATAAGGACATTTGCTCAACTATGTTTGTAGCAGCTTTATTTGTAATAACCAGAATCTGGAAACAACCTAGATGTTCCTCAACGGAAGAACTGACACAGAAATTGTGGCACATTTACACAATGGAATACTACTCAGCAATTAAAAACAAGGAAATCATAAAATTTGCAGGCAAATGGATGGAAACAGAAGAGATCATCCTGAGTGAGGTAACCCAGAAAGACAGGCTTGGTATACACTTACTTATAAGCAGATATTAGCCGTATAATACAGGACAGCCATCTACAGACCTGAAGAAGCTAAACACTAAAGAGAATCCTAGGGAAGATGCTTACATCTCATTCAGAATGGCAAACAGGATAGACACCAGAAGGGGTATAAGGGAGGAAACAGGATGGAAGCTTACTATAGAGGGTCCTTTGAAAGGATCCACCCAACAGGAGAACAAAGCAGATGCTGAGACTCACCGCCAAACTTTGGGTAGAGCTCAGAGAGTCTTATGGAAGAAGAGAAGAGTGGGGATAGAGGGACATGGAGGGAACAGGAGCCCCACAAGGAAACCAGTAAAGCTAAAGGATCTGAGCCCAGGGGGTCCTACAGAGACTGATGCACCAACGAAGGACCATGCATGGAGAGGACCTAGACCCCCTGCTCAGGTGTGGCCAACTGGCAGCTCTGTCTCCATGTGGATCTCCAAGTGAGGGGGGCAGAGGCTGCCTCTATCATGAACTCAGTTGCCTGCTCTTTGATCACTCACGCTTGGTGATGAGGCCTTCCCAGGCCACAGAGAAAGAGGATGCAGGCAGTCCTGATGAGACTTAACAAGGTATGGGCAGATGGCAGTGGTGGAGAGCTCCCCCTTTCAGTGCAAACCACCTTGATCATTGCAGCTGGTGCTCTCATCTCCTCGGGCCTGTGGACCACGACACAAGCTGTAGCTGCAATGCTGATGGCTGGCCCGAGGTAGGGCTGGAAACAGAAAGCAGAGGTCTTTTTATCGTCTCACGCCGGATCAAAGGAAAGGCACGTGTTAGTATTTACATGCTAGTTAGGACTGAATGGCCAAGCTGCCTGGCCAACTATGGCCTCTCCTCATTCACATCTCTCCTGTTGGAATCTAATCCCTATCAAAATTTTTATTCACGTGGATTGTTAAAAATGAGCATCAATACCAGTGTCAAGTGAGGGTGGGAGAGGAAGGCGGGGTAAGAATAGAGAGGAATTAATAGAACATGTACTAAAAGCTTCAGAATTTCATAAGAAACACCATGTTAACAGCGAAGGTTTGAAGAAAGAGTTTTCTATTACCTGGCAACACCTGCCTTCCCCTCCCACCTTCATTTGACAGTAGTAGAGATGTTCATTTTTTTTGTTTGTTTGGTTTGTTGTTCAAGACAGGGTTTCTCTGTGTAGCACTGGCTGTCCTGGACTTGCTTTGTAAACTAGGCTGGTCTCAAACTCACAGTCAACCACCTACCTCTGCCTCCCTGAGTGCTGGGATTAAAGGTGTGTGCCACTATGCCTGGCATAGATGATCATTTTTAGCAATACACATGGACAACAACTTTGATGCTGCAAAAAAATCAGAAAAAGTAAAAGAAAAATAACAATATTTTTATATTAATTTAACTGGTATACTAATTATATGCCAGTTTAATTATAAATTAATTTTTATATTAACTTACTGGCATAAAATGAAAAATATGTTTTCTTCAACCACGTGTCTTAAATCCATGTTAGAATGTTGGACTACAGATTGTCATATGAAGCCATTTTGGATATTAGCTTTTGATTCACAAATTGATTTTAAATATATGGGCTGATTTAATTCAGCAATTTTCCCCCTACTATTCAATGTCTCTCTGTAGCTGTTGTTACTTTCTTATCAGCATTCAAAGAGTTTAAAGTTAATAGAGCACTATCTCTAAGGAGTCTTTATTACCCCTTCCTGTTTATTAAGCTTCTCATTTAAAGGGCAAGTAGATCTTTCTAAAACTGCTTGTACTGTATGATTATGTGGTATTCTTCTAATATGCTTTGTTGTAATATACAAAAAAATTTGTTTCATTTTTCTAGAGACCTATGCTGGAGCATTGTCAATCATTGCTGTACAGGTATCCCCATAATATCCATAACTTCTAATAAATGTGTAATTATAAAAGCAGTCATTTCAGAACTTAAAGCAGTTGCTTATTGAAATCCTGAATAAGTATCTATGGTTTGTTGCACCTGCTTTAATTTTTCTAAACTGCAAAAAGAAAGACATCCATTTACCAAATTTCATTTCTTTGGGTACAAAAGATACCCAAAGTTATTTCCTGTAGGAATGGAGTTTGGTTATACAAAGAACAAGTAGAACCTTGCTTTGTAATTTCCTTGGCTTATTTCCAAGTGATAGAAAAATCTTTCTTCAAACCTTTGCTGTTGACATGGTGTTTCTTATGCAATTCTAAGGCTTCCAGCGCATTTCCTATTCACAGCTGATCAATTTCATTGTTACCTTGTGCTAGAGGGCCTGACCCATTTGGGATTTGATATGTGTTATATACAATGAAGGATTTCTAAGTCTGATTATGGTTCTAGTTGAATAAGTAGGGAAGTTAATTCTGATTCATACAGAATAACTTCAGTGGTTTCAATATGTAAAACAAGTATTTCTGCATACTGAGATCACACCTTCTGCATTACTCCATGAGACAGGGCCTTTCCTTTTGGATTGCCTCTAGAAAACAAAACAATATTTCTAAAAATGTCTTGCCAGCTGAATGGTGGTGGCATATGCCTTTAATCCCAGCATTTGGAGGGCAGAGGCAGGTGGATCTCTAGCAGTTCAAGGACAGCTTGGTCTACAAATCCAGCTCCAGGACAGATAAGAGAAACACTGCCTCCACAAAAAAAAAAAAGACAACTACAACAATCATAATAATGAATTGCTTACAATCCCTTATCAGATGACATGGCTTTTACAATATCTGAATTTTGATTTTTCTCAAAACATTTAGAAATTACCTCTATTAGAGTAGCACCATAAACATGAGATCCATTATCAGCCATATTTCTACTCCATTCACCTATTGGTGCTGATCTTGCCTTTAAGGCCTGCATTTTATATTTAGAATTAACATTTATTTCACATACCAATAAAGTACTGAAGAAGAAAGTAACTATCTCAACACTACATGAGGACAGTTTCATCACCTTCCTACTAAGATTGTATGAGCTCCAGAAAAAAACTAAAGAGGTTACAAAATGAATTCCCAGATAAGACAGAAATATAATGATTCAATTAAATGACCACACAGTTATGTCCTAAGTGTCAGTGGCTGAGTTAGGTTTTGAAATCAGTAATATATATCAGTGCAAAGTTAGAAATGGTACCAAGGAGGAAAAAACATCCATACTATCACCCAAGACATGAAACTATTACCTTCAAAATTCCTGGAGTCTAGATGAGAAATAATATTCAAAGGTCAACAGAAAATATGGAAGTACTTAGTGATGCTTCTAGCACTGAGAACCTGATGCAGGAGAACCCTTCTGTGGAGGCGCCCAACAGCCTAAGGAACTAAGTCCCAGGCCTCACATCCCCAAGGGAGAAGATGCAGGACAGAAGAACCCAGGAAATACAGCACAGTGACCACAGTACACTCCCTTGGGGGATGAGCCAGAAACACAGGTTCATAACAACCTTTTCTGCTGTTGTTTTCAGATGGGGTTCTCAGGGGGCCCGGGTGGCCCCTGAAATTAGCTAAGCCTGGCTCTGAACACCTGATCCTCCTGCCTCTGATTCCTGAGTGCTGGGATTGCAGGCCTGTGCCACCACCTCCAGCACACAGCAACCTCTGAATAGAAAGGATGTTGGGGTTGGGAGTGCTGGCTGGAGAAATAGCTCGGGAGTTGAGGACACAGGGCTCTTACAGAGGACCTGAGTTTGATATGCATGTCGTACAGGAGGAGGCATTGAAGGTGCAGAGTGAGGATTTTGGGAAAAAGAAGAGATATCCTTTGGTGGTATAAGGATTACCTGTAGCTTGAAGAGGGATGGCTGTTTGTGTTTCATGAGACCAATTAGGAGGCAGAGATGGGTTTGGAAGTATATAAATCCCATAAAAGTAAAAATTCAAAATGATTTTAGTTAATGTTTTCTTTTTCAAGTTGTGCCCAGTAGTACAGGCCTGTGATACCAGCAACTCAGGAAGCTAAGGCAGGAGAAGCAAAGACTTAAGGCGAGCCTAGCCTTCAGAGAAAATTTTGGACAAGTGTAGGCTTAGATTTTTCACCGACCTACTTTATTTAGGGTTCTTTTTATTTCTTTTCTTTTTTATGTATTTTACATTCCCTTCCCTTCTTTTTTTCTCAGCCCCCCGATACATGTCTCTCAAGGGATCTAAAGGAGGCCAACTTCTCGATTCCCTGCTTGTTACTTTCATGGCTGGGGTATTATTTTGGCTTGTTCATCATTTCCTTTCAGATATCGGGGATGGTGTGGGGGATGGATCTCAATATGTAGTTCAGGTTGACCTTGAACTTCTGTGTTAAGGGATCCTCCTCCCTCAGCCTTTAGTAGCTGGGCCTACAGTCATGTGTCAGGACATGGTCAGGTCTTCTTCTTCTCCTTCCTTCTTTTTTTTTTTTTTTTTTACTTTTTTATTTTTTTATTTATTATTTATACAGTACTCTTCCTGCACGTGTGCCTACACACCAGAAGAGGGCACCAGATCTCACTATAGAT